AGCAGAATTAAAAAAAAAGTACATATACATACACACACACCCAATACTATGTTTATATTAATAAAACTAGTTGTTTCTGCAGAGGGGAAACCTCAGAAGCTTATCACTTTCTGAGTAGCCAAAGAGAAAAGATAAGAGACAGTTCACTGTATTTTTTAATTCTGAACTATGAAAATACATTTACCTGTTCAAATACCAAAATTTAGAAGTTAAACACAGACAACAAGCCCACAATTCACCCTCCCTTAACTATTTCTTTAATTTATAAGTACTTAAATATTTTATCATACCAGAAGACTCAACCTAACAGAAACATATCACTCAATACACAGAGCAGTCAGGTCAGCTTAAATATTAAAGCAAAATCTCATATATTTAAACTCTGTTCCTTCCCTTTGATACAATGTATTTGATATTTTATACCAGTTTCCCGAACTGCTTTTATGGACTTAAAAAAGTAGCTACATCTCTAAGAAAACTAAATCCCACAGTCTGGTAGCCTAGCAGGAAAATGATTATCCTATTAGTAAAACTGCTATGCCAGTTTGATGATAGGATGCCTACTATAAACTTCTCCTGTTTATACTTATTCTTTCGTGTGTGATTCAATAGCATTTACTCAGCAGCCTTTAATATATCAGCTACCATACTACATTTAGAGTAAAGTTAATAAAACCACATTTCTTACCACCAGGCATTCACTGTCTAGTAAAATATGATGCAATTAAGCCAGTACAATCCAGAATGATAGCACTAAACATGTTAAACATGTTAGAAAGAAGGAAGCAATAAGGGAAGCCCTTAAAGCAAGGTACACTTAAGTTGAGCTTTCAAGATGAAAAATGTTTGGAAATGATGTAAGTACTACAGCTCGGTGAGTTGTTCCTTTTTTCTCTCCTCTTTCATTTACAACTAATCGGACCTCTGTAACTGAAAAAAACTGCCTCTGCACAGCAAACCAGGAAACCTGAGACATCCACCCATGTAACTCAAAGTGGGTAGACTGGGCCATGGACAGGCTGTGGGAGCTAGTGTCACCAGGTCCAGCAGCAGAACAGCACAATGTTGCTGGCAGAAGAGACAGAGGGTCAAGGTGGTGGGTGGAGGTCTGCCCAACTGTGAATTCTGCAGCTGAAGGGACCCATTGCTCTGAGGAATAACAGCAATGACTGTAGGGAAGGAAAGAAAAGGGAAGTAGGCAAACAACCAGTACTGAAAGAAAATGTCTCCCGTTGTGTATCCTGGGTTCAGGCAAGGAGACTGCCCACAGACTCCTGGGTACCCCAACTGGAGGATCCTCCTACCAGGCTGTGGGCATACCCAAAGCCTCAAATGCTAAGTATACACCTCCCCCCACTCTGCCTCCTTCCTGCCTTCCTTTCTTCCTTCCTCCCTCCCTCCTTCCCTTCCTTCCTTCTCTTTCTAAATCATCTGCTTCCAACCTTAGCAATAAATCAGCTCTGGTGTACTATAGTGCCACCTCCTGGAAAACAAAAAGAAGGCTCCTAATTTACCAGGCTGTTAAACTGTTAAAATCAAAGTAAACAAAACCTTGCCTAAATAAGAAAGGTGTTTGCTACTTAAGTGCTGCAGCAGAAGCACTTTTCATCAAACACCATCAAAAAACATAATATTTTTTAAAATATTTTTTATTTATTTGACAGAGAGAGACACAGTGAGACAAGGAACACAAGCAGGGGGAGTAGGAGAGGGAGAAGACTCCTGGCTGAGCAGGGAGCCCGATGCAGGGCCCGATCCCAGGACCCTGGGATCATGACCTGAGCCGAAGGCAGACGTTAGTTTAACAACTGAGCCACCCAGGCACCCCTAAAAAACATAATATTTTATCACAAAAAGGAAATGACAATTTTCTAGCAACTGAACCCAAAGACATGGAATGTTGCAATCTAACTGATAAAGAATTCAAAATATTATAAAGAAATTCAACAAGCTACAAAAAACTCAGGCAATACAATGATCTCAGAAAGATAATGAATGAACATAAGGAGTACTTTACCAAAGAGAAAAAAAAAACCCAGAGCTGAAGAAATCAATTAATCAGGTATGAGAATGCACTAGAAATTGAGCAGAGAGATGAAGAGAGAATTAACAAGCTGGAAGATAGGAATCTAGAAATGATCCTGGTGGAAAAGAAGAAGAACTTAAGATTTTTTTAAAGTGATGAAAGCTATTAAACTTCATTAGAAAAGCCAACATAAGAATAATGGGTATTCCAGAAAAAGAGGAGAGGTTATAGGTGGCAATGAGTTTATTTAACAAAATAATAGCTGACAACTTCCCAAACCTGGAAAAGAAACTGGATATACAAGTCCACAAAGCCAATAGAATACCTTATTATCTCAATGCAAAAAGACCTTCACCAAAATATATTAAATCTGTTGAGGGGCACCTGGCTGGCTCAGTCAGTAGAGCATGTGACACTTGATCTCAGGGTTGTGAGTTCAAGCCTCACGTTCAGTGTAGAGATTACTTAAAAATAAATCTTTAAAAAAAATTTTTTTTTAAATAATAAAACTGCCGGGCTCCTGGGTGGCTCAGATGGTTAAGCGTCTGCTGTCGGTTCAAGTCATGATCCCAGGGTCCTGGGATCAAGTTCCGCATCCGGCTCCCTGCTCAGCAGGAAGCCTGCTTCTCCATCTGCCTCTCTCTCTCTCTGTCTCTTATGAATAAATAAATAAAATCTTTAAAAATAATAATAAAACTGCCGTACGCCAATGATAAAAAAAAAATGTAAGGTAGCTAGGGAAAAGAAAGACAGTAACCTTACAAAGAAACCCACATTTGGCTATGAGCAGATTTCTCATCAGAAAATCTACAGACCAGGAGAGAATGGAATTACATATTCAAAATGTTGAAAGATAGAAACTGTCAGCCAAGAATACTCTATATGCCAAACTTATCCTCCAGATATGAAAGAGAAATAAAGGCTTTCCCAGACTAACAAAAGCTAAGGGAGTTTACCACCAGGAGACCCACTATACTTGCCTTAAAATAAATGTTGAAAGGAGCTCTTCAAGCTGAACAAAAAGACCTATGTACACTAAACTATAATTAAGGTGATATATAGAATTAGAAAACTGATTCTTTTTTAGAATATGTTAAACTCTTAATTATAACATAAAAATTAAAGGAAAAGAACATTAAAAATAACTACAGCTATTATAATTAAGTAAAAAAACCACAGCATAAACAGAGGTAATTTGTGATATCAAAAATATAAAAAGGGAACAGTAAAATGATGGAACTTTTATAGACAAATGAAGATAAACTGGTATCAGAAGAAAAAGGACTATTTCATTTATGAAATATTTTTTTCTTTCATAATTAAGTTTTTATTGATTATTCTAAGGATCAGGTCAGCCATTTCAATTTGTACAATTCTTAACATACATACCAAAAATCTAAAAAATCATGTAGTTGTGATTCTTTTCCAAAAGTTATTCCAGTGACCTTCCAGCTTAAAATTTGGAGGCAAATTTTCCTTAACAGTATTTCAAGTACCAATATATCATCAAATGTTGATACACTGTTACATTAAGTCCCATTAATTCACAATACCATATACACTACATACTCAAATTTTTTATCTTGCACAGCACATTAATAAAGTTACTAGAAAAACTGGACACCACAACCAAGATGTTACAGAGAGTACAAAATTCTGACAGGGAGAGCCAAGATCAAGGAGTAGTTTTCTTTAGGAAACAATTCTACCAAAAACAACACGGGAAGAGAAGTAATTTAAAATGTTCAAGACAGGGGCACCTGGGTAGCTCAGTCGGTTATGCATCTGCCTTTGGCTCAGTCATGATCCCAGGGTCCTGGCATCAAGCCCCATATCGGGATCCCTGCTCCAAGGGAAGCCTGCTTCTCCCTCTCCCACCCCACCCCTGCTTGTGTTCCTGCTCTCACTGTGTCTCTCTCTGTCAAATAAATAAATAAAATCTTAAAAAAAAAAAAATGTTTGGAACAACTGGGTGGCTCAGTCGGTTAAGCATCTGCCTTCAGGTCAGGTCATGATCCCAGGATCCTGGGATCGAGTCCCGCATCGGGCTCCTTGCTCTGTGGTGAGCCTGCTTCTCCCTCTGCCGCTCCCCCTGCTTATGCTGTTCACTCTCGCTTTCTCTCTCTGACAAATCTTTAAAAATAAATTAATTAATTAAATAAATAAAAAAATTAAAAAATGAATGTTCAAGACATATTAAATGCACAACTGCCCCCAAATTGCCATTTAGTATGTTTGGTATTTATATAAAAACTACCCCATCTACGGAATGTTGAGCTGATACCCAAGACAATCAAGGCCTCCCACATTCAATATCCCACTATTTTCTGGTTGTACCAAAAAATAGGCAACCAGCAAATGATTTCACCTCTTAAAAAAAAAAGGCATTTACACTTAAAAAATGGGATGAGATGGGATTCCCTCCTTCTTAAAAATATTTCTAGGGACGCCTGGGTGGCTCAGTTGGTTAAGTGTCTGCCTTCGGCTCAGGTCATGATCCCAGAGTCCTGGGATCGGAGGAGCCTGCTTCTCACTCTGCCTGCCTCTGTCTCTCTCTCTCTGATAAATAAATACAATCTTAAAAAAAAATATTTAAAAAAAATATTTCTAGAGCTACTAAAAAACTTGCATTTATAAAACAGTTGATAAAAATATTCCTCGGGGCACCTGGGTGGCTCAGTCGGTTAAGCATCTGCCTTCGGCTCAGGTCATGATCCCAGTGTCCTGGGATTGAGCCCTGCATCGGGCTCCCTGCTCCGCAGGAAGCCTGCTTCTCCCTCTCCCACTCCCCCTGCTTGTGTTCTCTCACTGCGTCTCTCTCTGTCAAATAAATAAATAAAATCTTAAAAAAAAAAATACTCCCCTGGGGGAGCCTGGGTGACTCAGTCAGTGGGTTGAGCTTCTGACTCTTTGGTTTGGCTGAGCTCAGGATCTCATGGGTTAGGAGACCCAGCCCCCCTCCCCCCAAAACAGGCTCCTTGCTAGGTGCAGAGTCTGCTTGAAGATTCTCTCCCTCTGCCACTCCCCCCGACTTGCATGTGCACATGTTCTCTCTCTCTCTAAAATAAATAAATCTTAAAAATATATATATATTCCCCTGGATTGTACGAGAAGGGAGACAGGGACCACTGATAAGACATGGTATATGATATCAATCAGACTTGGCTTTTTTCTCCTGCTTCATCTGAGGCTGGACTCTCCTCATTTTCAGTTTCTCCATTTTTCTGCAGATAAGTCTTCATTTCTTGGTTAGCCGCTTCAGCCTGTTTTCCCTTTGCTCCCCTTCTCCCCTTTGCACTTTTTTGTCTAAAGATTTATCCTTTCCTGTTGCCTTTTTTGGCTTCGTTTCCACTTCTGCAGGAGCAGGTTTAACTGACAACCTTGATGACCTCCTCTTGGGTTCCTCCTTTGTCACCCCCTCAGTGGAGCTGACCTTCCTCTTGAGTATCGTGGTGGGGCAGGTGTGCACCAGGTGCCTGCAGCCACAGGGGCAGAAATCTTTCTTGAAGCTGGGCTGCCTGGCCACTGCCACTCCTCCTGCCCTATCTATGAAATGTTTTATGTAAACCTCATGATAACCACAAAGCAAAAATCTATGGCAGAGATACAAACATAAAAAAAAGGAGAGACTGAACAAATCACCATGGAAAACCACCAACTTACAAAGGTAGACATAAGCAGAAGGAAAAGGAAACAATGGAGAAACAAAATAACCAGAAGGCAAAAAAGATGACAGTAGTATATCCTTACCTATCAATAACCCCCAAAGGTAATGGATTAAACTCACCAATCAAAAGGCACAGAGTGGCTGAATGGATTAAAAAAAAAAAAACAAGACCTGACTATATGCTGCCTACAGGAGACTCAGTTCAGCACTAAAGACACACATAGGTTAAAAACAAACAAATGAAAAAACCCCACATAGGTTCAAAGTGAAACCAAAAGAAGGCAGGCATAGCCATACTTTGATCAGACAAAACAGACTTCAAAATAAAGTCATTATATAATGATAAAGGTGTCAGTTCATCAAGAAGATATAACAATCATAAACATATGTGCTGCCAACACTCAAGCAACAAAATATATCAAGCAAATAATAACAAATCTTAAGGGAAAAGCAGACAACAATATAATAATTATAGGAGAATTCAATACCCCACTATCAGCAATCGGTAGATCATCCAGAGGGAAAATCAAGAGGAAATACTGAAATTAAACCACACTTAAGAACAAATGTACTGGGGTGTCTGGGTAGCTCAGTCAGTTAAGTGTCTGCCTTCGGCTCAGGTCATGATCCCGGGGTCCTGGGATCGAGCCCCACATCAGGCTCTTGCTTGGTGGGGAGGCTGCTTCTCCCTCTCCCTGCTGCTCTCCCTGCTTGTGCTCTCTCTCTCTCACAAATAAAAAAAAACTTTAAAAAAAATGTACTCAATAGACATACAGAACATTCAATCCAACAGCAGCAGAATACACATTCTTCTCAAGTGCACACAGAACATTCTCCAGGATAGATCATATGATAGGCTACAAAACAAATCTTAGCAAATTTAAGACTGCAATCATACCAAGTATCTTCTCTGATCACAATAGTATGAAACTAGCCATCGACAACAAAAGGAAAGTGAAAAGATCTACAAATATGTGGAAACTAAAAAAGACACATCTAAACAATTAGGTCAAAGGAAAAATCAAAAGAGAAAAAAGATATCCCAACACAACTGAAAATGGAAATATAACATATCAAATATTGTGGGACACAGCAAAAGCAATTCTGAGAGTACAGTTTATAGCAATGAAGACATGTATTAAGAAATTGGAGGGGCACCTGGGTGGCTCAGTCAGTTAAGCGTCTGCCTTCGGCTCAAGTCATGATCCCAGGGTCCTAGAATCAAGCCCCGTGTCAGGCTCCCTGCTCAGCAAAGAGTCTGCTTCTCCTTCTCCCTCTGCACCTCCCTCCTTGCATGTTCTCTCTCTCAAATAAATAAAATCTTAAAAAAAAAAAAAGAGCAAAAAAACAAATGGAACTACATCAAACCCAAAAGCATCTGTACAGCCCAAGAAATAACAATATGAGGGGCGCCTGGGTGGTTCAGTCGGTTAAGTGGCTGCCTTTGGCTCAGGTCATGATTCCAGGGTCCTGGGATCGAGCCCCGCATCGGGCTCCCTGCTCGGCGGGAGGCCTGCTTCTCCCTCTCCCATCCCCCCTGCTTGTGTTCCCTCTCTCACTGTCTCTCTCTGTCAAATAAATAAATAAAATCTTTAAAAAAAAAAAAAAAGAAAGAACAATATGAAAAGACAACCTACAGAACAGGAGAAAATTTTTACAAACCATATATTGGATAAGGAGTTAATATTCAAAATATATAAAGAACACAGTCAACTTAATAACAACAAAAACAATTCAATTAAAAAATGGGCAGAACTAAATAGACACTTTTCCAAAGAGAATATCAAAATGGCCAACAGACAAATGAAAAGATGCTCAACATCATAGTTATCCAGGAAATACAAATCCAAACCACAATAAGGTATTACCTCACACCTGTTAGAATTGCTATCATCAGGGCGCCTGGGTGGCTCAGTTGGTTAAGCGACTGCCTTCGGCTCAGGTCATGATCCTGGAGTCCCGGGATCGAGTCCCGCATCGGGCTCCCTGCTCAGCGAGGAGTCTGCTTCTCCCTCTGACCCTCACCCCTCTCATGCTCTCTCTCTCATTCTCTCTCTCAAATAAATAAATAAAATCTTAAAAAAAAAAAAAAAAAAGAATTGCTATCATCAAGAAGACAAGAGACAACAGGTGCTGGTGAAAATGAAAAGAAAACCCTTAAACATTGTTGGTAGGAATGTAAATTGGTCCAACTACTATGAAAAACAATGTGGAGATTCCTCAAAAAATTTAAAATAGATCTACCATGTGATCCAGCATTTCCATCTCTGGGTATATACCCAAAGGAAATATAAACAGGAATTTGACAAGAAATACACACACCCATGCTTATTTCAGTATTATTCATAAAAGCCAGGATATGGAAACAACCCAAATGCCCAAAAATGGATGAATGAATGGATAAAGTAAATATGGCAATATATACACAATGGAATATTATTTAGCCAGGAGAAAGGACAAAATGGATAGACCTTGAGCACATTATGCTAAGTGAGATAAGTCAGACAGAGAAAAACAAGTTCTGTAGGGTATTATTTATATGTCATATCTAAAGAAGTTAAACCTGTAAAAAAGAGAATAAAATGGTGGTTGCCAGGGGATGGGATGGGGTGGGAGTTAAGAGGAATGGTGTTTAAGGGTACAAACTTATAATGAACAGTGAACAAGTCAGAGAGATTTTATGCACCATATAATGAATATAGACAATACTATAATTATGTAATGTGATAAACATCACTATATCAGCAATATTTCAATATATAAATGTATCAAAGTAACATGCCTTACACCTTAAACTTACACAATGTTACAACATGCCAAATTTATTCAATTAAAAAAAGAAAAAAAAAAGTCAGGCTAGCAGAAACTGGGAAGAATAATGTGCAAAGAAAGACAAGGAAAGGAGCCTCTGGCTTAAGATGAAAGACTGAACATATGGATTTATCTACTTTCATACCAAAAATCACATGTAAATAAAAAAATTTTGTGGTTATATTTTGTTTTGGTTTTGTTTGAGAATAAAATCATGACAGACTCAAAATAGAAAAGGACACTGTTAGCAGATCAGAAATTTTTAGGGAGCCTGGGTGGTTCAGTTGGTTAAGCATCCAACTCTTGCTTTTGCCTCAGGTCATGGTCTCAGGGTCTTGGGATTGAGCCCTGCGTCGGGCTCCGTGCTCAGCACGGAGTCTGCTTGAGATTCTCTCTCTCTTTCTTGCTCTCTCTCTCCCCTGTGCCCCTCCCTCTGCTTACATGTGCTCTCTCTCTAAAATAAATACATCTTTTTAAAAAGTAGATATTTTTTAAAATAATAAATAAAACAGCACCCCAACCTCTCTCCTCTCTTATCCTGCTTTAACTTTTCACACCATTTATCAACACTTGGCTCCTTCCTTCCTTCCTCCTTCCCTTCCTTTCTCTTGTCTGCACCTTTAGAATATCAGCTCTGAGGGCAGAGCTATTCTTTTTCTTCACAGATATACCACAGCACCAGAGACATTGTTTGGCACTTCGGAAACATTTAAGAAATGTTTGTTGAATGAACAAAAGAAGGTTAATGCCTGATACATGATAGGTACTTAATATCTGCTAAATGAAAATCTAACTCCTAGTTTTATAAAACTAAATAAAAGTATATGTACACATGTACACATTAAATGTATATGAAGGTATCACAAAAGAATTAAAAGGATAGAAACCAAATATAACAGTTATATACAGAAAGAGAGGAATAAAAGTAGAGCAGCATACAAAAGAACTTCCATGCTTTATAATTTCCCTATACTCCATAATTTCTGTACTTTTCCAAACTTTTGTAATAAAAATGTTAATTTGTTATTTGTATAATAAAAGTAATTTAATAAAAATTCAAAACCCACTAGTTAACAAAATAAGAACAAACACACAAAGCCCTTAGCTTTATAGAGGGTTAACTTTCATAAATCAACATCAAAGCCATTTAAAGAGTCATGAAAAAAAATGTCCTTTATCATCACTTCTATTCAACATTGTATTGGAAGTCCTAGTCAATGAAAAATGATCCAAAATATAAATAAATAAATAAGGCAAATATATTGAAAGCTAAAACAATTCATTGTAAAATATATGATTACCTAGAGAATGCGAGAATTTAGAAAAACAAAACATGAACAAAAAGATCATGAACTTTCCTCTATACCAAAGATAACCAATTTAAAGAAGTATTTTATTTATTTATTTGAGGGAGAGAGAATGAGAGAGAGAGCACATGAAAGGGGGGAGGGTCAGAGGGAGAAGCAGACTCCCCGCTGAGCAGGGAGCCCAATGCGGGACTCGATCCCGGGACCCCAGGATCATGACCTGAGCTGAAGGCAGTTGCTTAACCAACTGAGCCACCCAGGTGCCCTAAAATGAGATTTAAATATGAGACCCTATTCACAAAAACAACAGAAACTATAAAATACCTAAATATATACTTAACGTTAGCTAACATACTACATGTGTTAACTTACATGTCTCAACATGTCTTAATTTCATCCTCACAATAACCCTAATTAGTTATTATTACTCCCATTTCATGGATGAGGAAACTGAAACACAAAAAGGGTTTTTCATTTGCCCAAACTTGGCAGAGACTGAACCCAAGTAGCATGGCACTAGAACCCATTCTTTTCACTACTACTCACCACAATCAACATAAGGAAAACTAGAAAACTGCAGAAGAAAATAGAAGACCTGACTAGTCATACCATACTGTTGAATGGGATGACCCAATATTGTAAAGATATAAATTCCTCCCCCAAATGAGTCTCTAAATTCAAGGCGATTCCAATAAAAAAAAAAAAAACCAACAAGATTTTTTGTGGATCATGACATACACACTGATTCCAAAATTCATGTGGAGAAGAGTCACATAAATAGCAAGTTTTCTGTTTTTTTTTTACTTGAGAGAGAGAATGAGATAGAGAGAGCATGAGACGGGGGAGGGTCAAAGGGAGAAGCAGACTCCCTGCTGAGCAGGGAGCCCGATGTGGGACTCGATCCCAGGACTCCAGGATCATGACCTGAGCCGAAGGCAGTCGCTTAACCAACTGAGCCACCTGGCAAGAACATTTTGAAAATGGAAAACAATGAGGGGAAATGTCCTTACCAATTATAATAATATAAATTTTTATTTTTAAAAATTTTTTTAAAGATTTTATTTATTCATTCATTTGACAGAGAGACAGCAAGAGAGGGAACACAAGCAGGGGTAGTGGAAAAGGGAGAAGGAGGCTTCCCGCCAAGCAGGGAGCCCGATGTGGGGCTCGATCCCAGGATCCCAGGATCATGACCTAAGCCGAAGGCAAACATTTAACGACTGAGCCACCCAGGCACCCCTAAAAATAGAAATTTTTAAATCAATTGAATTCAAACAGTATATTGGTATAGGAACACTTACAGATCAATGAAAGGACATTCTAGAAACAGCAGTGTTTATAATACTGTTACAACACCATTTATAATTCATTAATGATGCTGAAAAAACAGGCAATTCATCTGAGGGAAAAAAACATATCTACCTCCTTACACTCAACACATAAATTTCAGAGAGATTATAGAGCTAAAAGAAAAAAGTTCTAAAAGTATTTTTTAAGTATTTAAGAGGAAATCTTGTTATAATATTGGGGTGAAGAAAAATCTGTCCTCAACAAGACACAAAATCCAGAAGTTTATAAAGGAAAAAAAATGGAAAGATTTCACTGTACTCTAATTTAAAACTTTTCTAAAACAAAGCATCATAAACAAAATCAAAGAGCAAACTGCATACAGGCATATCTCAAAGATGCTGCAGGTTCCGTTCCAGACTGCTACAATAACAAATATTACAGTAAAGCGAGTCAAATGAACTTTTTGGTTTCCCTGTGTATATAACTTAATGTTTACCATATATTGTCATCTATTAAGTGTGCAAGAGCATTATATCTAAAAATAAATAAATACATACCTTAATTTAAAAGTACTTTATTGCTAAAAAATGCTAATCATCACCCAAGGTTTCAGTGAGTCGTAATCTTTTTGCTGGTGGAAAGTCTTGCTTCAATGTCCACAGTTTCTGCCTCATGATGGTAGTGGTTGCTGAAGGATGGGTTGGCTGAGGCAATTTCTTAAAATAAGACAACAATGAAGTTGCCTCTGCATCAACTGACTCTTCCTTTCACAAATGATTTCTCTATAGCATGCAATGTTCTTTGATAGCATTTTATCCACAGAATTTCTCTCAAAATTAATCTTCTCAAACCCTGATGCTGCTTTATCAACTGGGTTTATGTAATATTCTAAATCCTTTGTTGTCCTTTCAGCAATCTTCATAGCATCTTCACCAGGAGTATAATCTATCTCAAGAAACCACTTTCTTTGTTCATCCATAAAAAGCAACTCCTCAGCCATTCAAGTTTTATCATGAGGTAGCAGCAATGCAGTCCCATCTTCAGGCTCCTCTGCTAGTTCTCTTCCTCTTTCCACCCATCTGCAGTTCCTTCCTCTACAGAAATCTTAAACCCCTCAAAGTCATCCATGAGAGTTGGAATCAACTTCTTCCAAACTCCTGCTCATGTATTTGCGGACAGTTTGACCTCTTCCCATGAATCACAAATGTTCTCAATGACATCTAGAATGGTGAATCCTTTCCAGAAGGTTTTCAATTTACTTTGCCCAGATCCATCAGAGGAATCACTATCTATGGCAGCTATAGCCTTACAAAATCTGTTAAATAGTAAGATTTACAACAAGTCAAAATTACTCCTTGATACATGGGCTGCAGAATAGATGATGCTGTGTTGGCGGGCATGAAAACAACATTCATCTCACTGTACATCTCCATCAGAGCTCTTGGGTGACCAAATGCATTGCCAATGAGCAGTAATATTTTTAAAAATCTTTTTTTTTTTCTAAGCAGTAAGTCTCAACAGTAGGCTTAAAAATTCAGTGAGCCATGTTGTAAACAGATGTGCTATCATCCAGGCTTTGTTGTTCCATTTATAGAGCAGAGGCAGAGTAGATTAAGCATAATTCTTAAGGGACCTAGGATTTTCAGAATGGTAACTGAGAACTGGCCTCAATTTAGAGTCATCATGAGCTACCATTAGCTCCTAGCATGAATCAGCCTGTCCTTTGAAGCCAGGCACTGACTCCTCCTCTATAGCTATGAAAGTCCTAGACAGCATCTTCTTCCAATAGAAAGCTGTTTCATTTACACCGAAAATCTGTTGTTTAGTGTAGCCACCCTCCTTAATTATCTAAACTGGATCTTCTGGATAACTTGCTGCAGCTTCTACATCTTGCTGGTTCATCTTGTACTTTTTGCTTTTTTAAGGTATGTATGTATGTACGTATGTATTTGTTTGAAAGAGAGTGAGCAAAAGAGAGAGCATGAGCAGGGAGAGGCAGAAGGAGAGAGAGAAGCAGACTCCCCTGCTGGGCAGGGAACGTGGACGACAACACAGGGCTCAATCACAGGACCCTGGGACCATGACCTGAGTAGAAGGTAGACATTTAACCAAAAGAGCCACCAGGCGCCCCTTCACCTTGCACTTTTGTCTTATGGAGACAGCTTCTTTCTTTAAACCTCATAAACCAACCTCTGCTAACTTCAAAATTTTTCTTTCGCAACTTCCTCACCTCTCTCAGCCTTTATAAAATTGAAGAGAGTTAGGGCCTTGTTCTGCATTAGGCTTTGATTTAAGGAAATAATATTCTATCCAGAATACTCAAACCTTCTCCATATTAGACTGTTTTGCTTTCTTATCATCCTTTCATTTGTGTATTCACTAAGTAGTACTTTTAATTGCATTCACAACTTGGCTAACTGGCTCTTAGTCTAGCTTTCAGTCTATCTCAGCTTTTGACATGCCTTCCTCACTAAAATTGTTTCTAACTTTTGGTTTAAAGTGAGAGACAAAGGACTCTTCCTTTAACTTGTACACTTAGAGGTCATTGTAGAGTTATTAATTGGCCTCATTTCAATACTGTTGTATCTCAGGGATATGTTAAGAGTGTTCACTGAAGCAACGTTTGATAGAGAAAAACTGGACATCACCCAAATGTCCACAGATAGATGAATGCGCAAATAAATTATCCTATAGCCAGCCATAACATAGCATACTATATAGCCTTCAAGACCTCATTTTCATATACAGTGAGAACACAGTGACACAGCTTCCAGCCTTTAACTGCTATTTCTAGGCCTAGATAGATAGTGCTAAATCATTTTAGGTCAAAAGAGGATACTTGGGGTGCTAACTTTGTAATTACATAACTTGTCATTACTTCCCCCCAAACCATGTAGCCTCAAATATTTATATGTATACAAGATGTCGCTCTTTCTCTAAGAAGACTTCTCTTCCTCTACCTTATTCACTCTGTCTTCCTTTATTTGGTTTCATTCTCCCATTGCTCCTGTACTGACATGGGAGACCAAAGCAGATTTTTCAAACCATGTCCAAGAATCAAGAGTATAATATTATTCTCTCTATAATAAAGTATCCACCCATGCATTTTTATTTGTTCCTTAACAAGCTAACTTTTTATGAAGAAATCTACTTTCAGTCACTAAAATTACCAGTTAAGAGCTCACATATTTAAATCCAAAAATACTTGAGACCACATGGTGGAGATGGGGAGAGTGATGACAAGTTACATAGTTACAAAGTAAGCCCTCCCAAATACCCTCTTTTAACCTAAAGAGATTTAGCACTCTCTAGATATGGAATTAACAATTTAAGTCTAGTGCCTTAGTCATTAATTACTCTACAGCACATTTGGAATTTTAGACATCTTTGCATTTAAAACTGCAGGCCTGGCTCAAGAAATCAATAAAAGCATTAAGTATTGTTATGCCCAAAAAAGCTTTAAAAAATCAAATCCCGGAGCACCTGGGTGGCTCAGTCGGTTAAGCGTCTGCCTTCGGCTCAGGTCATGATCCCGGGTTCCTGGGACAGAGCCCCGCGTCAGGCTCCCTGCTCAGTGGGGAGTCTGCTTCTCCCTCTGCCTGCCGTTCTGCCTACTTATGCTCTCTCTGTCAAATAAATGGGTAAAATCTTAAAAAAAAAAAAAAAAAATTGGGGGTGGGGGGATAGGTCAGCCTGGTGACAGGTATTAAAGAGGGCAAGTACTGAATGGAGCACTGGGTGTTATACGCAAACAAGGAATCATGGAACACTACATCAAAAACTAATGATGGGGCGCCTGGGTGGCTCAGTTGGTTAAGCGACTGCCTTCGGCTCAGGTCATGATCCTGGAGTCCCGGGATCGAGTCTGCTTCTCCCTCTGACTCTCCCCCCTCTCATGTGCTCTCTCTCATTCTCTCTCTCAAATAAATAAATAAAATCTTTAAAAAAAAAAAAAAAACTAATGATGTATGGTGATTAACATAAATTTTTAAAAATCTGTTCTCCTTAAAAAAATAAAAAATAAAATAAATAAAAATTTTAAAAAATTAAAAAATCAAATCCCTGTTTAGCGCTTTGCCTACAATTCTAGGCCAGCTGCAACTCTCAAGTTAAAACAGCCCGCATACTAAAGCTGATATGACCTGCCTGTGTCAACTAAGGCTTTCTTGCCCAAGCTGCGTCAGTTTAAAGCTAACCATACTGGGGCGCCTGGGTGGCTCAGTCGTTAAGCGTCTGCTCTCGGCTCAGGTCATGATCTCAGGGCCCTGGGATCCAGCCCCGCATTTAATTTAATTTAATTAATTAATTAAAATAAATAAATAAAAATAAAGCTAACCATACAACAGTTAAAAACAAAAAACAAAAAAACAAAAAACCCTGCATGGTACAACATAGTTCCTGCAAATAACCAAGCTCAAAAAACCCACGTCTCCTTACTTGTTAAAACATAATACCAAGCCACCCCATTTAAGACTCACCAGAAGTACATTTGGCTCCCTAAATGGCAGTCCTTCCCCATTTCTCAAGGTTCCTTTGCTATGGAACAGCTGTTAGGTTATTAGGTGTGACTGATCATTTTAATAATGGCCCCAATTATTAACCTGACTAATCTTCCCACAAGACTTAGAGACTATTTCTCTCGATCCCTTGAATCTAGGCTAGGTTTGTACATTTTGTCCTATACATTGTGGTGAAATTGATGTGTGAGTCCTGGAGTCTAGGCCTCAAGATGTCTTGCAGCTTCTGTCTTTATTCTCTTGGGACTCAGCTGTCACCTAAAGTAATAAAAGCCACACTGAATAAGGAGACATTGTGAGCAGAGAGAAGGCCCACTTTCTTGTTGTCCTCACCAAGGCCCAAACATGTGAGTGATGCCATCTTAGGTACTCTAGCTCCAGCCAACCCACCAAATGAATGCAGTCACACAAGTGACCCCAGGCACAAAAAGTACCTAGTTATCCCATAGAATTTTAAGAAATAATAAATCATTGTTGCTTTGAGTTACTTAAATTGTGAGGTAGATTGTTACATAGCAATATTAATATACTAGGAGAATGCAAATGGTTGAGCAACACCATTTCTGGATATATATCCAAATGAATTTAAAGCAAGGACTCAAACAGGATTTGCAAATCAATGTTCATAGCAGCATTATTCATTATAGCTAAAAGGTGCAAACAACCCAATGTCTATCAACAGATGAATGGATAAACAAAATGTGGTATATACATACAATGGAATATTATTCAGCTTTAAAAAGGAAGGAAAAATCAGGACCCCTGGGTGGCTCAGTTGGTTAAGCATCTGCCTTCGGCTCAGGTCATGATCCCAGGGTCCTGGGATCGAGACCCGCATTGGGCTCCCTGCTCAGTAGGGAGCCTGCTTCTCCCTCTGCCTGCCACTACCCCTGCTTGTGCTCTCTCTCTCTTTCTCTCACAAATAAAATCGAAAGAAAGAAAGAAAGGAAGGAAGGAAGGAAGGAAGGAAGGAAGGAAGGAAGGAAGGAAGGAAGGAAGGAAGGAAGGAAGGAAGGAAGGAAGGAAGGAAGGTAGGAAGGAAGGAGAGAAAGAAAGGAAAGAAAGAAAGGAAGGAAGAAAAGAGAAAGAGAAAGAAAGAAAGAAATTAATTCTGACATATGCTACAACATGGATGAATTCTCAAGATATGCTAAATGATGTAAGCCAGATACAAAAGGACAAATATTGTATGATTCTACTTACATGAGTTACCTAGAGCAGTCATATTCACTGAAAGAAAGTAGAATGATAGGGGCACCTGGGTGGCTCAGTCGTTAAGCGTCTGCCTTCGGCTCAGGTCATGATCCCAGAAGCCCACATCAGGCTTCCTTCTCAGCAGGAAGCCTGCTTCTCCCTCTCCCACTCCCATTTGTGTTTCCTCTCTCAATGTCTCTCTCTAATAAATAAAATCTTTAAAAAAAAAAAAAAAGAAGAACGAAAGAAAGTAGAATGATAGCTACCAGGGGCTGGGAGGCAATATTTT